TGATGATAGATTCTCAGTGGATGAGGAAACTACTCAGGCGATGGCTTGAATTTCCTTTCCCGATTTAAAACCAACATACTTTGTTAAGGAACCAAATTTTTCTTTAGCCTCCGCTGTGGGGAAACCTCTTCATGTTGATATGTCTACTTTCAACAAGACTAGACCAAGTTGTGCTAGTGTGAAGTTGCAAGTACATCTCTTGGCTCATTTTCCTAAGTTTGTTGAACTTGAAGTGGTTAATGGGGATTTAGAGACATTTAGAGTTGAGAAAGTTTAAATACATTATGACATGCTTCCTAAGTATTGTAAGACATGCAAATTACAAAGGCATAATGAGGAGGAATGTAGGGTGTTACACCTAGAACTAAGGAGAAATGATCTTGAGGCTTTGAAATAAGAAGATTGTACAAATATTGAAAACACTAAGGTATTAAAAACAAACTCAATCAGTCCAAGATGTTCAAATAGGGCAAGTCAATAGTCAAAGACTAAGGAATGGGATAAATCACAAAATTCACAAAGTTTACAGGGATATTACAAGAAATAAGCATTCACAATGGTATGATGCAGCAGTCTACAAAAGAATGGATAACAAAGGATTTTTGCAAAAAAACAAAAGAATGATCAAAAGGTGGTTGGAATTACTGAAGATATAGAGAGTACAAGAGCACCATCAATTCAGCTGGAGGTTGAACATGTTAATGCAGACCAGGGAGTTATTTCAACATATCTTGCAAATATTGGGACCAATACAGAAATGCCATCAATAACAGTTTATATTCTAGAAAATCAAAGTCCAGTGTTTGTCCTGGAAAAGAAGGAGATAGTAGTAGTAGAAGCAACAAGAAAGCGACATATGTCAAAGACAATGATCTTTCCTTGGTAAATTATGATGATATAGAAGATAGGCATAATGAACTCATCATCATGGAAGATCTGAAAAATACGGTGGAAACACATCCACTTCAAACAATTAGTGAGAAAAAAGTAACTTTGAATTACTTTCATCAGATAAATTTGATTTATTAATCGTATTGATTGAATTTTCTACTACAAAATTAATGGTAAAGAAATTGCATGAAAAAAACTTTAATAATTATCAACCAAACATAAAAGAATATATACCGAGAAAGAGTAAGAGAGGGAGTAAATTTAGACAAATATATTATAAGGTATTACAATAGATATTTCCCCAAAGATAGGCATGGTGATCCTATCAGAGTTCCTATGTTTCCACACCTAGAGAATATTAAAGTTCAAACAATATCACATTTCGATTGAGCACATGACAAGTTGTTCTTATAAACAATTTCAAAAAAAAAATATTAAAAAGGTTTATGCTCGTATTTTGAAGTTGCACTCTCTCGTTTAAATATACACAATATATAATACTCTTAATAAATATTAAAACCACATAAATATTTCAACATATTAAATTCACTAAATTGAATTATAATAATAGGTTATTATGTATTTTATCTTATTATCAATTAATGTTTATTATAGAGAATCACCTATTATCACATCATAACCAACGTAATCATGTAAACTAATTTTACATCGTCTATTTAAGTGTTTGCGCTTTTTTTCATAAGATGGTCTATATTTGAATCCTTTTATGTGTAGGTGTTATCAATACGTCATGTACAATGGAGGTTGATACGTTAATTTCTATGCATTAATGATGATTTTAAAAAAAATTTTAGCGGCTAATATTCATTATAGAGAATAACATATTATCACATTATAAGCAATGTAATCATGTAAAATAATTTTACACGATCTAATCATAAAGTTTGCACCTTTACTCCGTAAGATAATCTCGATTTTCATCATTTTATATATAGATAGACGTTATTAGTACTTCATGTGTAAAGGAGGTTCATAGGTTAATTTCTATGTAATAAATATTAATAGTGAAACATTTTGTATAATAGTATAAAATTAATTGATTGATATGTCATTTAACAAACATTAACTAATAATGTTGAATAAGGATTTTAAGTAATTTCCTTGAACAAGTAAAAAAAATATTGTAAAAAAGTTTGAAATAGTTTAATTTTATTTTGTCTATATATAGAGGATTTAAATGTCCCCTTATTCGTGATTGAGCAAGGGAAATTCTCAATTGAGGACCAAGATAGGATGCTTGCAAATGTACCTATGTTAGATATTTTAATACTTATGAATTATAATTGTGTATTGATAGTATAATATATACTATTAATTTTGACTCTTAGCTTATGTTTGTTTATGCTTTTTTTCTTGTGCAGAAAACTAAATTGGTAAAGTATGGAGTTAATTAAGAGTTTGAATACTTTTTTCTTTGTTTTATCAGTGAAACATTTTATTATGGTAAGAACATAGTAAAAAAATTAAATAGGTACAATCATATAAAATTTTGTTTCACGTGATTTGTATAGATGAAATTATTGGTAAAATATATTTATTGTGCTCTCAACACTTTTTTACAAGGTTAAAAGTGAAAAGTTCAATTAATTTATATTCAAATCAAAAGCATCATATCTATAAACTATGATTAACATACGAAAATTCATGCAAAAAAGAAATAAAAGAAAATTAACTTTCCGTAAAAGAAGTTGTTGATATGGAGTGTATAGGTTGTCCTCAAACACATTTTTTACTTGTAATGTATTATCTTGAGATTGTTTTAAAAATAATAAATAAAAACTGATTAGCTAATTGGGAAAATAAAAACTAAACAAAGACTTGTATAATACTTATGGTACTTTCTTTATGATATATTTCTTTTAGTTGTCTCAATATATTTTGCTACTTTCTCTGCAAACAATTGGAGTAGTTATTTGAAGAGTGTTCAATATCTCGTATTCTATATTTTTCTATCAAGTATGATATTTTGCAATTTTTGAAGGTAGTTGTCTAACTCAAATGAAGCATTTACGATATTTCTTTGATAATATTCACAACAATGTATATTTCGTTTTCTAAGATGATTATGGAATTAAGAGGTTTCATCACACTATTAAAATAAATAATCTTAGATTCTTAAATTTCATGGATAAAATAAATTTACTTGGAAGATTTCTTATTTATTTTTTATAACATTTTTGATATCTGTTAATTAAATATGTATTCCTACAGAATTATGCATACTTTATACATGTTTGAAAAAATTAGTAGATAAAGTGCACATAGATATCCATATATTCATATTTGATTTTGCAACTTCATGTCACACATAATATTATAGGGTTGAATTCATCAAATCAAATCTTCCTTAAATTATGCATTCTTATTTGATATGAGATACTTAACTAGCACAAATTACTTGTGTCTCAATTAAACATTAGAACATGTCCTAGCTCCTTTGGGAAAAAAAGTTCGCAAATGTCGTATGAATCTTATGAGTGTAGATTGCAATAATTTTTGTTAAAGTTGGACTATATTTATCAACAAGAATACGCTTACATTATTACTTACACCTGACGTCATTTTTCTCTTCATTCAACTGCTACTTGGTAAATACATTTTACTCATAATCAATCATACAATTATGTAAAGAATTTAAATGTCCAAATCCATTTAGAACATGATTAGTACTTCGAGATGTTATTTTCAACTACCACTAAACACGTTACCACATGTGTCGAGTACTATAAAATTATTCAACCAATCATGTTACTCTACATATTATGTTGTTAGCATAATCTTTAACGTTTCTTCAAATTCAACAATAAAATTACATTTAGATATTGCATTTGTCAAATTTTATAAAGAACTTTTGTCATTGTCAAGTGAACTCAAATGTGATGGGCCATTTGGCGCAAACACAATCTACGGCAGATGCTTGACATTATTTCTCTTATGGAAATTTCTAATGCTCGATTTTCCTAAGTTATATTATGTGGAAAATTACTAAGAAATGATTTTTATAATGTCATTTAAATAAAACAGCACAGTAACAATTATAATTGTATTTGATGACTTATTCCAATAAATGGTGCATAAATCATATGATAGTTTTTGTTCAATATATGGAATCAAAACACACGACTTCGTTAAAAAAAGTAAAATTTCATTCTTGATCGACCATCTCATCATAAAATTGTCTATATGCCTTTCAGAATCAAGTTGAACATCTCAATAAAATAAGTCTCGCTCACTTGTCTACTAGTGAATCGTTAACAACATTTTTAGGATGCCCTGCTTGAACCTTTGATTTCTTCAAATCAACTATAAATGAGAGAACCTGACAATTAAATCACGAGCAAGAAAAAAATTAATATTTGTTGTCTTTTTAATTATTTCTAATAATATAAGTCTTTTCATCGTTAGATTTATAGCTACTAACTTTACTCCCTTTTGGGTTATAACTAATCTTTATTTTCTGTTTAGTTATTTATTAAAATAAGTCATCTAACATATTTTAATTTTTTTATACAATTAATTAAACTTAATTGGGTATTCACACGGTTGTATAAGTATAGATCATTTTTTATGCTAAAAATGGTAAAAATAAAAAAGACATATTATTTCTAAAAAAAAAGAATCATCAATTGTTGAAAGAGTTATAACTTTATAGAACTAAAAATCAGACAATCAATTTATTCAATATAGCACCGATTCATTTTCATTGTGATACCACCTCAAATAAAATTATGGCTAATCAAATACCATAGATTATTATCTCAATAGTAAAACTTAAATATAAAAGGACCAAAGAAAAAACTATATTAATAAAAACACTTCAAATGATATAAAAAACTGACCAATTTCATCAAAAAATTTAATTGAAGATTCAATATTTCTATTTTCTTTCTAAAAATTTTGGGTTGGGGTGGGGTGGGATACGGGTGATTGGGTCTTATACACTTCTTATGAATATAGATACTTTTGATCTCTTATCCTACATTTCTAATATAATATAATGAGATACTATAAAGAAAAACAATTAAATTATATATAATAAATTACCACTGCGATTTCTTCATTTTTCCTTTTCTTTATTAAACTTTTGCTCAATCTTTGCTAACAATGTTTACTATAGCATCCATTGTTGCTTCTGTGTTCCTTGAATCCCATTCATTCTCTAACTCAAAAACATAATTTTTAACTTCTTTTCGTATCATATCTTGTAACACTGTCAAAATATTTGGGCTCAATAACTGTTTCTCCATACTTGTAAGAACAGAATTATCACTCTGAGTTATTGATGTTTGGGGCATAAAATTTGATGGATTGGGTTCATATGCTAATACAAGTGTCACTTCATCTTCTTGCTCGATTCGATTTATTGGATTCAAATTCTTGCTAGATTGGAATCCAGGTAAAGAGAGACTCAATGTTTTTGATGTACCAGGAAATACTGGTGAAACTGATGAAAAAGGGAAAATTTCTCTGAATTTGGCAATATATGGATAAAGGCTCAACCAAGGGTACCTAGATATACCCAAATTGCTCAAATCAGATCCACACAAACTCAAATATGTAAATGTATTAGGAATTATTGGTAAATATGTTGAATGAGGAAAATTTTGACAGGGTAGAATAGTAGGCGGATAGATACAAACTTGAGGAAACCTAGAAAATTCCAAATTGCTCAAATGAGATTTAGATGGGCTTCCTGAGTTTATACCTGTCCCAACACTAAAGGATCTCTTTAAAGGAAGTTTAGGCTTTGATTTGACATGGAAGAGTGTTTTCGTTTAAGGGTCGAATTCCAATGATTTTTTACAAATCCATTGGTTCGACCAGGAAACAAAGATATTATCATAGCCCATTGGTTACCGAATTTGGCATGAGCCTTGCAAATAATTTATTCTTCTTTAGGAGTAAAATCCAATTAAGGATTAAGATAATTACACCAACTCTCCCTACATGATTTTGGAGTTTGACTATGAATCAATTGGCTGATGAACGACCCGTTCTTTGCTCCATGTTCCTCTACTAGCTTCTTTAATAGTACATCCTCTCCAGAATTCCGTCGACGCTTGATCTGACCCATTTTCTTGATTATTTCCACTTATTTTTTTTATTTGGGTTCCAATTCTATTAGGAAAACGATTGGAACTGTAATCCTAATTGTAGTTGGTTTTGACTTTTAAGGAAAAGCACAACACTATAAATAGAGGATGGTCATGAGAGAATAATTAATTGCTCATTGGTATTGTCTTTGAAAGACATTATAATATAAGAGAGGTTTTTGAGAGAGCTTTCAACAAGAGAAAACAGAAAAAGAAAAGAGTTCTTTTGCTGCAGTCTTTTTCTTCGATCAGCAACGTTCAGATTGTGTTTTCGGATTAACTAACCGTTGGATCAGGTTGAAATTTAGACTGATTGTTCTTGACATATTTTTGGTTGATTTTAACAATGGATATTGGAATTTGGATTTCAAAAAGATTCTTTTTAGGTACCAAACAGAAGCAGGGTTTGGTTAGTATTTCTTTCTATTTATCTTTTGTTGGTGTAACTATTGTTTGTTATCTTTTTGCACTTGTTTTGTAGCCATTAGAATAATATTTGTAAACCTCTTATTGGTATAGTGAAGCAATTCAGATCTTGTCTATCCTGTGGTGGTTACCTTCGGTTTGAAGGGTTTTTCAACGTTAAACTTGGTGTTCTTTATTGTTAGATTTTTGGTTTCATCTTTTTATCACAATAACTGGTATTAGGTCTAAGGTTATCTATATGGAGGGGAATATGATCAAGATGGTATATCTAAACAGATGAAACTACACTATATGGAAAAGCAAGATGAAAGATCTATTGTTCGTATAGAAGATACATTTTTTGGTTTTTTCTGCTCTTAAACCAGAGAATGTGATCGATGAAAATTGGGAATTGGAGAACCAACAAGTATGTGGATATATAAGAAAATGGGTTGAAGATAATGTTCACAACCATATTGTGAATGAGACACATGCTAGAACATTGTGCGAAAAGATGGAGACGCTTTACGCTTCAAAAATTTGCAATAAAAAGTTGTTCTTGTTAAAGCAATTGATGACCTTTAAATAAAAGGAGGACAGTCCTATTCTTGACCATATAAATTATTTTCAGGGTATTCTTGATCAGCTATCAGGAATAGGTGTTAATTTTTATGATGAAATACAAGGACTTTGGCTTTTTAATACTCTGCCGAATTCTTGGGAAACTTTTCTTGTTTTTCTTTAACAAATTCTGCCACTGGTGGAAAGGATACTATGGAATATGCAAAGAGTGGTGTGTTGAATGAAAAGGTTGGAAGAAAATCTCAAGACACATCTTCACATTCAGATGTTCAATATACAGAAGATCGAGGGAGGCATAAGACAAGAGATTCGAGGAGTAGAGGTAAAACTAGAAGCAAGTAAAAATTCAAGAATCAAAATATTATATGTTGTCATTGTGGAAAGAAAGGACATATTAAAAGATTTTGTAAACAATTGAAGCAATATCTTAAAGAAGGGAAGAAGGAAGAAAACAATGAAAATAATGTTGTTGCTGTTGTCCAAGATGACCTTCTCTTCGCTTGTGATAAAGACGTCATCAATTTTATTCCTCAAGATACAAGTTGTATAGTAGATTCCGGAGCCACATCACATTTCACACCAAGAAAAGACTTCTTTTCATCTTATACTTCTTTTAAATTTGAGGTGTTAAAGATGGGTAATGCTGGTGAGGTTAAGGTGTTTGGTGTTGGCACTATTTGTTTGAAAACCAATACCGGTTCAATGTTGGTCCTTCAGAATTTCAAGCATGCTCTAGACATTCCCTTAAATTTGATCTCTGTAGGACAACTAGATGATGATGACTATCATAGTGACTTGTGCAATGGACAATGAAAGCTCACCAATGGGTCATTAATTTTAGCTCGAGGAAGAAAACATTCAAATTTATACGTGACACAAGGATCGATTCTTGGTGACTCTATAAATTTGGCACATGAGGCGTAGTTATATGAGCGAGAGGGTGATCACCTGTTTGGCTAAGAAGAATTTGCTTGCTGGTATGAAACAAACAAACGTGAAAAGATACGTTCATTGCTTAGCAGGGAAACAGAAAAGAGTTTCTTTTCACATTCATCCTCCTTCAAGAAAGTCTGAGCTATTGGAGCTAGTACACTCAGATTTGTGTGGTCCTTTCAAAGGGAAGCCAAAAGGTGGTGCACTTTACTTTGCTACTTTCATTGATGATCATTCTTGCAAGATTTGAGTATATCCTTTAAAATCCAAAGATCAAGTGCTTGATGTGTTTAAAAATTTTCAAGCCTTATCTGAGAGACAAACGGGAAAGAAATTAAAATGTATTCGCACTGATAATGGTTGTGAGTATATTGGTTTCTTTGATAATTACTACAAATCACAATGAATTCATCATCATAAGACTCCTCCAAAGACTCCTCAATTAAATGGTTGGCAGAGAGGTTTAGTTGAGAGAGTTAGATGTGTGCTTTCAGAGGCTTAACTTCCAAATTCTTTTTGGGCTGAAACACTTTACACTGTTGCTTATGTTATCAATTTATCTCCTGTTGTTGCTTTGGATGGTGATTCCAAACAGAGTTTGGTTTGATAAGGATATTTCTTATGATCACTTGAAAGTGTTTGGGTGTAAAGATTGTTTTGCATGTTCAAAAAGATGAGAGATCGAAAGTGGATGTTAAAAACTAATCCATGCATCTTCATTGGTTATGGTCAAGATGAGTTTGGATATCACTTTTATGATCAAATTGATAAGAAACTCATTAGAAGTAATGTTGTGTTCTTTGAAGATCAAACTATTGAAGATATTGACAAGACTGAGAAACTAGATTCTCATTCTGATGGGAGCTTAGTTGATGTTGATCCAATTCCTATTATTAATACATCTTCTGCACATGTGGGAACCCAAGGTAATGATCCAGATAATAATCCGAGTGTAGAATATCTAAATGTTTCTACTTATGATGTTGTGGTTGATAATCAACAAACTCATGGTGAGATAACCACTTCGAATGATCCAGAAACCTCTTGTAGAAGATCTACTAGAGAAAAGCGAAGCTCAACATGTTATTCTCCTAATGAATATATCCTCTTGAATGACATGGGAGAACTTGAAGGTTATGATGAACTCATGATAGATACTCATAGATATAAGTGTAAAGAACTCACCGTAGACAATCATGAGTTTTGTAGAAGTGTTGCAGGCAGGAAGCCTTTCAAAAGTTACTTCACTTAAAGTTCATTTGGCCCCTTGGCTGAAGGGGCAGTTTGTTGGGCTGTTGCCCATGTTCCAGCCGAAGTTCCATGGCCTAATCCTACTTGAAAAAGGATTGGAATTATTCTCTTTATTTGATTTCCAATTCTATTAGGAAAAGGATTGGAATTGTAATCATATTTGTAGTTGGTTTTGGCTTTGTAAGGAAAAGCACAACTCTATAAATAGAGGATGGTCTTGAGAGAATAATTAATTTCTCATTGGTATTGTATTTGAAAGACATTAAAACATAAGAGAGGTTTTTGAGAGAGCTTTCAATAAGAGAGAAGAGAGAAAGAAAAGGGTTCTTTTGCTGCAGTATTTTTCTTCGATGAGCAACGTTCAAATCGTGTTTTCGGATTAACTAACCGTTTGATCAGACTGATATTTGTACTGAGTGTTCTTGACATCTTGCTTGTTTATTTGAATGGTGGATATCAGATTCAGAGGTCAGCAAGATTCTGTTTTTGGTTCCGAACAGAAGTTGGGTTTGGGTAGTGTTTCTTTCTATTTATCTTTTGTTGGTGTAGCTATTTTTTGTTCTCTTTTGGCACATGTTGTGTAGCCATTAGAATAATATTTGTAGCCCTCTTATTGGTATAGTGAAGCAATTTGGATCTTGTCGATCCCGTAGTGGTTACCTTCGGTTTGAAGGGTTTTTCCACGTTAAACTTGGTGTTCTTTATTGTTAGATTTTCGGTTTCATCTTTTCGTCACAACAGCTGGTATCGACCTAAGGTTATCTATATGGACGGGAATATGAGCAAGATGGTATTAGAGCAAGATTCAATTCAAGATTCAATGACAGAGTCATGTTTAGTGGTTCGATAATTAACGATTGAACCAGGTTAGAAAGAGGCGTTCATCTTGACGGGTGTAGTTGTAGCCGCAATCTTTTCGACAACAATGAAGATTTTATTGGAGAAATTGTTTAAGAGAGGTTCTCTGTGTTGAGACATAAATTTTGCAAAAGAGATTGTGGAGAGGAGAAGCAAGTTGTTGAAGATTAAGTCAAGAAGGTGGAGAAATTTATTATGTTAGAAATTCAGGTCAAGCGGGAGATTTGTTAGGTTTTATTTACCCCAATTTCTTACCATAAATAGGTTTTCCTTTTAGGAAAAGGTTTTGGATTAACTAAGATTTTTCTAGTAGGAAAAGGTTTAGGACTCTATAAATAGAGGAATGTTCCTTTTCACTTAATTAGCATTCATAGTGTAATCTTAAAGGCTTTGAGAGTTTTGGTTAGGGGGAGAATTTGTGGTTCATAAGCTTGATACGTTATCACTTATGTGAATCATCCATGTATTCCGAGTGAATTGGTTGAGGTTGTGTCTCTTTGTATTTTGTACCTTCATATTTATAGTGGATTGCTCATATCCTTTGTGGACGTAGGTCGATTGACCGAACCACGTTAAATTTTTGTGTCTTTTGGTATATTTCTCATTGTCTTCTTACTCATGGTCTTTTGATGTTTGCTTTGCTAGCTTCCGTATTACACCTACTTATTTTCATCCTAACAGATTGGAGGTTAAGGAAGGTGGTTAGTGGGTTAATTACCAAACTAAGTCTAAGTAAAAGACCCCAACTACATTAACCCAAGTCATTTTAACTCTACACATTAAATTAAAATACAAACTCCCTCCAAACTCTCTCAAATCAAGACTCCATTGAAGAGGAAGACCAAGCTTTCACTAGGTCCTCAAGAAATGAACTTTCTTCCATAATCTTTAAAGATTAACAAGGTATGGTTGCTTTTGACTCTTCTTAATCCTTTCCCCAAGAGGTCCCCTC